TCAAGGTTGTGGGGACTTGGATCCTACCCACTCCCCTCCTGGCTATAACTAACATCCTAACAGCCCATAGAGACCGCAGGGTCCTTCAGCAGGCAGCTGTAATTACATGAAATTTACTGGACACCCAGCAACCTGCCAGAATATTTCCATTCTAGCTGCTTCACTGGAGAGAATCGGCCATGAACTCTGTGGTGCTGTGTGCCTTTTCCCAACAGTTTTTTTTAAGTGAATATATGCTATTAGCTTGCCCCCCCCTCCACATTTAATTGGCCAGCATAGTAGTTGCATTAGAAATTCAGCCTCATATATGGTGTGAAACAATAAACAAACCCTGCAAAACCTTAGACTAAAACCACAATTTTCAAGGACAGAGACAGTATTATTTCTGTCCTCTAATGATTCCCGCTCCACACAAAGCCTGGAGAGGAGAGGGTCTTGATTTTGTGTCTAGAACAGAACACAATTTGTCAGAATTGAAGCTGCAAGAGGGAAACAACAACAACAACAACAAAAAAAAAAAAAACCTCCAAGCATTAAAGAAAAAGAAAACGAATATCAACTACCAGATTCTCCCTGATTCTCAAACTTTCCAAATTCTTTTGGTTCACCAACTAGTTTTCGTAAGGTCTCAGTGGGTAATAACTCCGCAGCTCCTCTGGGCACAGTTTCTGGGAATCTGTCATCAGAGAGAGGTTGCAGAGAGCCTGGCATTGTTCCTTGTGGGCAACAGAAAGTGTTATGACACAGACGTGAACATACACACACTTGGGGGTACAATACCCCGTGATTTGCCACCTCTCGTCACTTGAAAGGAACACTGTGGGAGGAGGGGAGGGACTATTCTTGTCATCTGACATTAGTGACCACACTGACTGCCTCAGAACTTGACCTTCAGTCCTGATAGTGCCCCTGGGTGGAAAGGGTATTGGGAAAATGACACAAGGCACTTTGCCATATCTTTGAACAACCAAAAGGGTAAAAGACCTTTATGCCTCTTTATTTTCTGCCTGCTACGCAGATAAGCTAGTCATTATGTGATCCGGTTTGAGACCACCAGGCACCCCACCTTTCCCCCTGTTGTGTCTTATGCCCTTTAAACTATCAAATCAGTCCACATGTTTCTAGGTTCATAATTAAAGTGTTGGCAATGCTTGCTTTCAATTTCATTTGTACAAATGGTCCCATCACTCTTTTTAAAAGCCCTGGGCACGTGTTCAAAAAATACAACCCAAACAAATAAACCGCATAACCAAGCCAGAGCTGCCAGCCCTGGGTACATCCTTACTATTACGTAAACCCCTACCCCCCAAAGTACACAGAGAAAGAACTTCCTCAGAGCTGAAAAATGAAGTTTTTACATTAATGCAGTATCACCCAAGAAAGATGGGCTCATACATATGGCATAGAATCAGCAATTTAGCATTCAATGAGATAAACTTCACCTTGAATGAGTCCTTAGAAAAAAAAGAATATTTAGGAAGGAGCTGAGTTCCTATGGGGAATCTTAGGGTAGAACTTGAGTTTGGCAGAATTTATTACTTCCAAGTGCTGAGAAAGAGTTTATATTTAGAACTAAGTTCTTGATCTTATCCAGTGATTGACTTTCATGGCCTTTGGAAGTAACTTTGATAACAGAATTCCTGTCTGTCATTTACCCCAGTTGCTGACATGGTCACAGCTGTGGGAGCTGCTGTATAAAAATGTCATGGTAGGGTGAAAACTTTACCGAGGTGAAGGGCTCCAACATGCAGAGAAAAGAGAACATATAACAAATTACTTAGTATTGCAATAGATAAATAATAATAATAATAATAATAATAATAATAATAATAATCAGAATGCAAACTGTGGTGTGAGATTTCACCGATGCAGAGCAGGAAGAACTGCCCAGACCCACTGTTTAAAACAGTTAGGAAATAAGACATTTGACTACAGCTGGCCTACAGTGCAAGCCGGCACCATCATCTGAAGGCTCTGCTGGGGAGGAACTGCCTTCTGCAAGATGGCAGCCTGTTCAAAACAGCAACAATGCAATCTATCACCAGCGAGGGCCCCCAAGCTCTTGCTTCTTCCTCTCCTTTGACAGAAACAAACTGATCAAAGACCACTACACATTCACCTTTTACCTACAACAAAAGTGCAGCTATAACTAGAGTGGTACCACCTGTGCTATGTCTCAGCCTCATCAAAATCCTTTTTGCTTTTGAATCATCTCATAAGGATGGGAAGGGAGAGAAACTGATGGTGAGAAGGAGCCTGGAAGAAGAAGCCTAGAGACTGAGCAGAGAAAGCAACAAGTCTGTGTCTCCTGCTCAGAAATAACTGTGTGATAGGATCTCACTCCTAGCAAAAAGGAAAACAAAGACTTCTCTGCCCAGTGTTGTTTAGTCACATGACTGAATTATCTTGCTAACAATGAGTTGTTATTACAACCTTTGTAAGGCTGGGGACAGACATTTGTATTAAAATGACAGTGAAGAAAATTGTTTATTTATACAAGCTAGGTGTTTTTTTAAATCCATAATTGAGCTTTTCTCTGTCTTCTTGGTGAATAAGGAAATTTTGAGCCAGGTATCTTCACAAAGCAACCATAGAAATGGGATAAAATGGCACAGTATCTAGGATGTGACCTACATTCATGAAAATCTTGTCAATACAAAGTTCTCTTCTGGTGTCACTTTGAAAGTCTGTATTTTTTTAATCTTAAAATTTAATGAAACCCGTCCAGGGACAGTCCACATTTTTCAGGAAGAACAAACTTTTCAGTACAGGAGACAGCATTTTGCCAGTACAACAAGAAACCAGCCAAGCTGCTGTGGAGGAGCTAAGCAAGTACATTTCAATAAGGGCCCAAACATTCTCTGGCAACCAGTTAGAAAAACAAGTTGTCATTGCATTAAGGAAGCTCTCAGATATGAATGATGTTGGTGGAAAACAGAGTTACTCACCAGCCGAAATGTTTACTTGAAGGGAGAATTATTTTATGGGAAGCACTATCAGAATTGGCATACTTGCAATCTGTTCAGATTGGTCACTGTGTACATTACTACAGCAATATGCCCCAAGATGTCCAATCTGTCTGCTTAATGAAGCAGGTGGTGAGGTTCTCCAGTGAGCTGTGGGCTCCTGAAGGTCAGGGACTCGGTGGTATTCCTCTTCTATCTCACACAATGCCAACTTGATGAATGCAGTCAATAAATTCCAAATGTGAATACAGATTGCCACACACACTGACCCCGTGACATAAAATATCACCCCATCACCACTGACCTATTGCCCTGCCTAATTTCTCTTCTGATTGATAATTGCCAGCTGTCCTGTTGACATGATTCCTTTTTATTATTACTTTAATTCTTTTCTCCTTCACTAAAATCCACTCTCCCCAAGGTCAGGGATTGAAAAGGTTTAATTTTTTTTAGAACTTCATTTCCTAGGATCACACTTAGCACTTCTAAAGTCAATCACAAATATGTGTTGACCTTTGAATGAGGCAATGATAGATGAATAAATGGCTTACTCTGTCTCTTCTTTGTTTGATTGATTTCACCTTAATGAATGAAACATAAAAATTATACTGTGATCCTCAATCAATTGTAACAAGAGGAGGGTTTCCTCAAATTGTAGGTGGTTGATTCTAGAGAATGGAAGGATAGTCTTACTGGTATCAATTTCATGTATCATCTCCAACCCTGTAGAGAAATATGAGGAATAAGAAAAGAGAGGGAAGCCATCAGCGAGAGGTTTCTAGGACTGGGACCACCCAATATGAGCAGGAAAACACATTGCATATCCCTGTCTACATCTGTACAATCAATTCTCCTGGAAAAGTTCACTTTTTAGAAGATAGTTTTTATCTACTGACAGGAGTCTACATGCACTTGCAGGCTTTGAGGACTCAACCACATCCAATCTAGATTTGGAGTATTCATGTAACTTTAAATAATTGTAATCACATTTTGCTCTTTGAATTTCTGCATTGGGCATGTCTCTGAACCTTCCATGTACCATCCTCATTTAAAGGGACTCATGAGAAAATCAGTGACTCATGGTTCAATGACTTTCTTATGACTAGCACGGTGATCCAGCCAACAGAAAGCTTTGATTGGCAGTTTATTTTCAAACCAAGATAGCCAGATGTTCTTTGTTCCTTGTAGATGTTTCTAAGGTATGGTAACAATTGAACAGATTTGTTTTTGCAGTTTCTCACCTGGTGTATCATCAAAAGAACCTACGGTTTATAGGAAATTGGCCCACTTGCATAATCTGTCTGATCCCTTCTCTTGACTTATACCTGCCACGATTGTCTTATTCTTCACCCTAATCAATTTCCCTTGGGGTCTCTGAGCATAACACTTGGTTACTTTGTTCTTGTAATAACTCTTATCTCTCCACTAATTCACCATGCTGAAATTGCTTTGGGGTTCAGAGAGAACAATTCTTTGCTCTCTTGAGCCTTGTATGTTATGGGGTGAATAGTTAAGACTTCCAGAATCCTCCTTTCTTTATTGAGAAACAGAGATAGTGATATTTATTTTGCCAGGTTATTGAGCAGGCTACCGAGAATTGTGCACTTGAAACTGCCATGTAGAGCTTGGCTCCTAGGAACTGTTTATGATGTATATCAAGGAGATAATAGCTAGACTTTTGCTCTACAATGGTGATTCTAATGAAACTTTGGAAACATTAAAAATCAACATTTTCTAGTGAATGAGAGGATCACCTGAGATGGAGGAATAGTGGCACCATGGAGGGAACTCAAGCTGTTTAGGATGCTGGTGGACAGAGGTGCTGTCATTAAAAATGATGAAGGGAATGGAGGAAAAGGTGAAGAACTCAACTTTAATTTGAAGAAGAGTTGAAGTGAATCCCATTTTAAGCTTTCAGAAACAACCGATTAATCACTTATATATTAAAGTTAATTATAAAGTTCTCTGGTTTTGCTTTAAAGAGTTCATTGCAGTAAATAACACAATTGCTTCTTTGTCTTTCTAGGGGTGAGAATAAAGCTCTCTGGGAAGTTCCAGATTAACCAAAATTGACATAACTCGAAACTAGAAGAGTGGCTAGGGGACAATTTTATTCAGTTCCTAATATCTCTCAGCGTTTATGACCAGCAAACATCCTGTTTCAGACAAAAAGTAAGCATCTCTTGTGCACTCACACATGTATGTAGAAGGACAGATAGCTGATAGCAGTGGAATACTAGACTTAGCTACAGGGATGCTTACATGGACCCTGCTTTGCCCACACATGACCTCATTTCCCTAGACAATGCTCAGCATCTACAATGCATGTCATCACACCACAGGGGTTAGAGCAACAACAGTATCTTCAGAAAGAGTGGCTAGAAGCTTGGCTCTGCCACTTAGCTGAGCAATCCAGAGCACGATCCCTCAAACCCCCTGAGCACCAATCTCTATGTCCAATAGCCAGAATATGCCCACTTCTTACAGTGGTTGCAGAGGGATGAAAGAATAATGCTACTTCTCCAAGATTCTTTTATGATGCTCAGCCAAAAAATTAACAAATACCAAAGTACAATGCCTGGATTTCTTATGAGGTGTTATAATGTTTAGATTCTTCACCAGACACAACCTAGAATCAGTTGGAAAGAGTGTTTTAAGGGATAGTCTTTGTTGGTTGGTTCATGGGTGAGCCTGTGGGTGATTGTCCAGAATTTGAGTACAGCTGATCTATATAAGGAACCGAAGTCTAAGCTGAGCTAGTAGGGAAAATAAAAAAGAAAGAACTGTGAAGCTCACCTCAGATGGGTTCTATTAACCTTAACCTTGCGGCCACGGGGGAGCTGCTAGAAACCTGCAGACTACAAACCTTTACTTTCACTTGGAAAATTGGGAACAGACAAGGAACCCAGTTCTCAAGGAAAAAAAATTTATGAGACTCCAGGAAAACACTTGCACCTCTCAGTCTCCATTGTGAGACTTATGCAGGACAATATTATGATACTCACACTATAGCACTGATTCTCAACCTTCTTAATGCTGTGTGATCCTTTAATATAGTTTCTCAATGTTATGGTGATCTCAAATCATAATTTTTTCATTGCTACTTCATAACTGTAATTGTACTACTGTTATAAGTCATAATGTAAATATCTGTGTTTTCTGGTGGTTTTAGGTTTGAAAAGATAATGCAATCCTCCAAATGGGTCTTAGCTCACAGGTTGAGAACCCCTGCTCTACAGCATTCTCAGAAGAATGTGGAGTCCCTTCTTTCCTGGGTAAATGTTTCATTATTGGTTCCTGGCAGAAACCTCTTCACTAAGAACCCATTTGTTTATAATCTGAGGGAATCTTCTGACCTTTAAAGTTTGGGGACTTTACATTCAACAGTAACTCATGGTTAGGACTACATAAATCTTCACTCTCTGACCTTGTCTTCTTGGCAAACAAGAAGTTTTTACTGTTTGGAGGAAAAATACAAGCTTCTTTGGAAATACCTTCAAAGTTACAAAGTTCAGGGTCATGGCTTAGCATGTAGACAAAGTAACTTTTGTTTTAAATGTTTCCTTTTCTTTGTTCGTGTTTTGTAATGATTCGGCTGTCCCTGTGTAGCCTCAAATAGCCTTGATCTTTTTATATTCTTTTCCATCTTCCAGTACTGGGATTATACCTGGCCTGAACATGTCTTTTAAATGTGTACCTTTGTCCCTTGCTACTACCACACTATTTCACATTTAAAATATTTGTATTAGCCAAATTAGAAAAAGAAACATGAGCTGGGCCTTGTTCCAAGAAGTCAAACATGAATAGCCCAGGGTAACTTCTACAACAAATTAATCATTTATGAAGTACCATTGAATCCACCTAAACAGGTAAACACCTCATTTTTAGATGTTTGTAGCATTTTATAAGATAGTGACACTGAGGGGGGGCTTTTATAGTAGTAGTTTATCTCCCCTACCATAAAGGAAAATATTCTTGCATATTTTAATAAAAAAATTACCTGTTGTTATTCTGATCTTTTAAAAGTTCTTTTTTGTGACAGAAATTAAATAACAAAAATTCACATTTGTTCCATTTACAGAATAAACCTTTATAGAAAAAAATGTAAAAGAATGCTCAGATCTCAGTTGAACCTCACCTATTCTCCAATATTTTCTAAAAATGATAAGTTCGTTGTCATCTTACTCAAACAGATGAAGCCAGCCAATAAACAAAGGCCCCTGTGTCTTCATTTCCCCTTTGCCCTTCGAAGGTAAACACCTCAAACAAGTGTCTCCAAGTCTTCTTAGACAAGTCAGTTCTCACTTCCTTTTGTTTTGATATCTTTTTTTTAATTAAGGAATTTTTATTCATTTTGCATACCAGCCATAGATTCCTCTCTCTTTCCTCATCCCACCCCTCCAGCCTCCTCCTCCCCCAACCCACTCCCCATTCCCTCCTCCCACAAGATAAGGCCTCCCATAGAGAGTCAGCAAGGTCTGGTCCATTCAGTAGAGGCAGGTCTAGGCTCCTCCCCCTGCATCAAGGCTGTGCAAGGTGTCTCACCATAGGTAGTGGGCTCCAAAAAGCCAGCTCATGCACCAGAGATGGATCCTGATCCTATTGCCAGGGGGGCCCTTGAGCAGATCAATCTACACAACTGTTTCCATTATGCAGAGGTCCTAGTCCAGTCCCGTGGAGGCTCCAAGCCTTTTGGTCTGAAGTTCATTAGTTCCTATTAGCTTGGTTTGGTTGTCTCTGTAGGTTTCCCCATCAGGATCTTGATGCACCTTGCTCATTGAATCCCTCTTCTCTCTCTTCTACTGGACTCCTGGAGCTTAACCTGGTACTTGGCTATGGAGGTCCCAGACAATTCTCACTTTCTTAAACAGGGAGCTAAAAAGGATGCTCAGTGGAATAAAAATGTAAAGTAATGGTGTTTAAGGGTGGGATTCTGTCTATGAGTAGTTTAGATCCACCTGGAATGGTAAGAAGGGTCCAGTTACACCTCAGCTATTGATATTCTTAAGGGAAGTTGTGATACTGGGAATCTTATGGACTGCTTTGATGACAAAATACTTTACAACCATCAGAAAAGCTGTATGTAAGTCGTTGTTGGCATGCATTGCAAGATCTCATTTCTCTAGAACTTATCTGATGAAACTGCCTTAGTGTTCCCAGTGGCCGGTTCATTTGTGGAGACTGGAAAGCAGTAGACCGGGTCTTAATCATATCTTCTATGCAATTCTTCATTCCCAAAATAGAAAATACTGGGAGGGACAGAAAATTACTGTTGCCTCTAGTATACTAGCAGCTGCCTCTATAACTATCCAAACAAGTCCAAAGACATGGTGCAGAAGTGTAGGACCAGGGTCAGGATGAGAGAGAACAATGATGGCAGAAGGAAAGTAAATAAGAAATGGTTAGATCTGCTTCAGAGGAAAAGAAAAGTACTCAGCTAATTCCATTCTCCACAGCTTAAAGCTCCCTTTGACATTCACAGCACAGTTGGCTGCTCTGGTGGATTCTAGTCCTGTGCCTCCCTGGGGAGACTTGCATTTCTCTTTCTGTGCTCACTAGATTCTCATGGTTGGTGATACAAAATGTTTGTTGTACCCTGGCTGTGTATGGAAAACAGGAGTCAGTTGCTTGCATTTGAAGTTGTCCCTTCATCAGCCCATTAAGAGGGCAGGTGAACTGGATCTGTTAGCTGTGAGGGGAGTGTTGGAACTGATGGAGAATCCCCTTTAAAGCTATCCTAGGTCTCCCTGTAACAATGCTTTCAGTCTTGAGTAGTTGGACACACACAAGCTTTGCTCTAAATGCATTTCATTCACTTGTTTGCTCACCCCTCCTTCATTTCTGCATTTGCTCATGTGAATGTGTGTGCCAAGTGAGGGCTGTCCTAAGCAGGACACAGCTGGGTTATCATCTCTTGTCACAGAGCTGCTCACTGGCCGGTGGCACACAGCACTGGCTGGTGGTTTACTTTTGTATGTTCCTCAATGATTAATATTTATCTCTGTATCATAATTAAAAGTTACACACTTATTAAAATAACAAACCTGATCCACAGCAGCAGAATATTCTTTAGCTTTTATGACTGGAAACAGAATTCTGAATTTTAGAATTCCTGCTTTTAAGTCGTCATGACAATCTTCCAGACTTAAAGCTCATTAGGGTTTCTTCACATTTCCTCATAGAAACACAGAGAGAAGATAGTTCAAATTTTGAAGCCAAGTTTCTCACTGTCCTCCTCTGAGACCACTCAAAATACGCCTAGAGTTTTAAGACACAGTAACTTCCAAGGAGAGGAAAGCTACTGACTCAAAGCACACACACACACACACACACACACAGAGAGAGAGAGAGAGAAAGAGAGAGAGAGAGAGAGAGAGA